ACAACCATGCAACATAGTAGAAATTGAGACATGAACAATTTACATGGAAAACTGTCAAACAAATTGAGAGAAAAACCACGGGCAAATGTATGAGGATTATACCAATTCAAGTACTAACAATTTAAATTTTGAAATTTTTTTTTTTTTTTTGGAACTGACATGACAATAAAAGAGGTCTGCCACATTAGTATAGTTTTAGTTAATGCATATATCATTATTCAATTAAAAATAAGTATTATAACACCTTCTTTCTAAATATAAGGAGAATAACAAATGACAATTCTCTCTAAAATTGGAGAATGCAAATTCTTTCAATTTTGGGATGCCTAAAACCATAACCAATGCCCTGCTATTTATAGCCATTAAGAGTGAACCCTAGCCATCCACTTCTCTTGGCCATGAAGTCACCGTTTGGTTGAACCGTGACCACTCATTCAAAACTTGACTACCATCTAGTCACTTGGCTAAATCTCCACCACTCATTCCACTTGGCCACTTGGCCATTTGCCTACTTGGCAACTTGGTTCAAGAGGTTAAGCCAACTCACTTCTTCGACTATACTTGGGTTTTGATAATGGACCTAATCCAATAGAATCAAGAGGTCAGAATATATTTTTAAGTTAATTTATAAAAGTTTTTATATTTGTATATTAAAGTTCTATAATAACTGTAAGCGTTTTGCTCTGTATATTACAAGTTTTAAGTTATATTTTATTACAGTAGAATATAACTGGGGATAAGAAGTCAAAAGAGAAGGAGAAAATATGACACAAGAATGTTGAAACAATATGCATGATCCTAAAGTACATTTTTTAAAATTGGATCGATTTTTATTTTCTATTCATCTTGGTCACCAACTTTGAATAAAGAAGATTGCAGATAAATTAGTATTACTCAAACGTTAAATTAGAAAATTTTCAATCATTCTAGTATTCGTAATTTTAGGCACAAAAATGCAGCACCAAAGCTTTTCTTAATTAGTGCAAATATTTGGAGCATACTTGGCCGTTTTATCGACGTTATTAAGACTTTCTCCAGCTTTTTGAATGATTGTCATATGTTGAAAATTTCAAGGTGAAAAGTGTCACTTTCTTAAATCTTTGGGTTAAATGAATTTGTCCAAATCTGAAGGGTGAAATAATCATAATTCATAACCCCCAATATATATGACACTTAAGGCTCCCACTGGTTCACTATTCCAATGTTTATTAAAATAGTATTTTAGAAAAAGTAAAATTGAATTGAGTTTAGTTATTTTTACGAGAAAAATAATTATTAATATTTTGAGTTGAATAAAATATAATTAGATTTTAAAAATATTAAAATAAATATATTTTAAGATTTTTAGGATACGATAATGGAATAGGATAGGATTTTTCAATTGTAACAAGAATTGACCTTTATTGATTACGTTTGTGTCTGTCAACGGAATTGACCTCACGTTCAGAGTGAAGCCCATAATAACCAAACCCAACCCAACTACGATCCATGACTTGTAGCCAAAATCCAATTCTACAGTAGGATGGCTCTCTCACCCTGGTGATGGAGTTATTCAACGGCTTAAAACCCCAAATCAAGATCAACGATACCCATTGGATCAATTGGGCTTGTTTTGGACCAGGAAAAGCCTTTCCAAGTTAAAAATAAAGAATATGGGCCTAGGGGAGGAAATCTAAGGCCCTGAACCTTCCAAATTGGTCTCATTATGTTTCAGCAATCAGAATCTTATACTGGGCTTTGGCTACAATACAGAAATGTATTGTAGTTTCCCATCTAATCTGAATCTGACCACTGGAGGAAATTTTTCTGGGCAAATACTTATTACTCTTCAACCGGCCATGTTAAACAGTTCCGTTAGGGATAATATCATAACTACCCCTTATAGTTTGCATCTATTATATATACGGAGAATGAATTTCTCATTTTTATCAAAATTACCCCTTATAATGTTAAAAGCATAAAATTATAAAAATGAATTGAAGAAATTTATTATACAAGTGCCAATTAAATAAATCATATAAATTTATAAAATAAAAAATGAATTTCCGTTATATTGGTCCTGGCATTAAAGGAATAAAGTATTATAATACGCCTAAATATTAGTGTAGATGTGCTAAATGAACCATTATACCCACATAATATTTGTTATACCCAATCTAACAAATATTATTACAATTAATAACTAAACACTTAGTTGATTAATTAGAAAGAAAAACACATAGATTCAGTTTTAAAGATTGATAAGATTAATTCATACCTGGGTATCAATCTTCTTGAATGAACATTTCTCTTTGCTTCGAGCATGCAATTCAAAAGTAAAATAAGAGATTGAAATAATGATTTTTTTCACAAACTGAAAATATTATTGATTTTTCTTCGAATAAAAATGTACATAAGCTTTTCTTTATATAGAGAAGTCCGGATTTGAAATGAATTGAATCCGTAAAACAAAACAAAACAAAAGATCTAATCAATCATGAACTAAAGGTGACTAACTATTAACAAAGACTAATAAACTAATAAGAAAATAATATATATCTTAAAGATAATGACACTAGGGTCCACATGTCTTACAAAGATATAATTATTACATTACACGTTTTACATATCAAAATATAATTATTACAAACGACAATACACAATATCTAATGCCTTCTTTTAATCTGGATCGTTGAATTCTGACAGCAAAATCCTCGATGTCCATGCATTATCTTCCGCTTGTTTGATACACGTCAACATATTTACATGTTGGACATTTTCGGTTGTCCAAATCTCCATTCTCTAGATTTTTATCAATCTTTGAAGTTATCCATTTCTATAAGATCAATAAAATCTTTCAGAGTTTTTTCTTCTTGGGCCTTTTGGTCGTGGGCTAAGACCAACATCAGAAGATCAATAATACCTTCCATTAAAGTTTGTTTTGATAGATGGGCTAAATCAAACCCTTCTAGTAGCATTCTTAACTAGGCTTGGTTATGTTTGAAGAGTGTATCTTGGATTGTCGCATACCTGTTTGGTAAAACTACCACTATCCCATTATAGATATGGACAGTAGCATTTGCTTTAACAAGCTCTTCCAGCTTAGATTTAACTAGTAGCAGTTTTGCAATATGCAACTTGGTCCAATCATCCTCTTCCTTCCTTTAAATTTCTTCTAGCGCATAAGATCTCATTCTTACCTCATTATCTAACATAATTCGACACCATGGTTCTCCTATAAGAAATTCCCATATCCGTACAGGTTGAACATTATAGTTCTCTTGCAATGAAGAAGTAATCATGCAAGTGAAAGTATCGACCTTTCTATTTAATACACAAAGCGTTTGTTTAACCGCGTGACTGCATCTGACATATTCGGGTCCACCATTGCTTCTTGTACATCAATTTCGATTGCATCGATCCATCCTCGATTCAAAAGGTTTTTGCAATAACCTTTTCTAAAGGTTTTCCATGGAACGTACAATTCCATAACGCCATTAGGATAAATTACTAATCCTTAGACTAAATCTGCCAAGTCAGTTTTTCCCAATTTCACTATTAGATCATTTAAATTCTCGAGTTTGAGATCCATCATGTCAAACAAATGACATTTTCTCATTACCTCGATTTTTTGAATTACTGCTCCATAAAGTAGAGTAGTTCCTCTAAACTCCTCATCTTCATAAAACAGTTTGTCAGCTTCCAGCCAAGTTATCCTTCTTGCAAACTTTTCTAAACACCTTTGGAGTTGCACTTCCTCTTGACATGTTGCTAAAGCGATTCTAATTTGGGTTTCCAAATCCTCCTAGAGTGTTTGACTAGTCAGAGTTAATCTTAAGCCTTCTTGAAAGCTAAACCTCTCACCAATATCCGCATCAATTAACCGCTTTTGTGGAGTGTGTGGGATCACCACACTTGCAGCGCCTGATGATGAAACCTTAGAAGCTTTTGTCTTTTGCCGTTTGCAATAAGCTCGTTCATGTCCTTCTTGATTATAGGACTAGCCAATGGCAGAGCTAGGATTTTTGCCCCTGGGGGGCCTCCACGACTCCGCCATTGTTTGCCAAACAACAATTTAAAAACTTTTAAAAAAACCACCAAACCTTAAGCAAAAGAGTTTACAGCAATCACAATCCACCAAAAATATTCCACACAAATTTAGAGGTAAATCGAAACTCTAACACAAGTAAAATACATAAAAGTTTACAAAGAGATGGATTAAAATCACCAGAGAAGCAATCAAACTTCATGCTTAATAACTCTAAATCCAAACATTAATATCAAAACTCAACCGTCTAGATTAAAGATCCACACATCCTCTGCGTATTGACCAAAAAATCAAGTTAGAATAGTATACCTGAAGATTTGAATATATGAATATTGTTTGTTTAAATATGAAAGCAAGTTAGAATGGTATACCTGAAGATCTTCAATTTAACACGATTTTCCGCTTCGATATATTCTGAAAGTGTTCAATGATATAATCATTTTCAATTGTAGCAAAAACTTCCTTTTCAATGTAAACCACCAAGCAATTGTTCATCCAGTTGTCTCCCATTCAATTACGCAAACTATTTTTCACAAGATTCACTACAGAGAACACTCTTTCAACTGTTGCAGTAGCCACAGGCAAAACCAATGCTAATTTAATAAGCAAGAAAACTTTGTTGTAAGCAACATCCTTCTTAAACTCAACCATTTTTTTTAGCAAGGTCAGCAATCCCTTCGACATGAGTGAAATTGGCACTGGTGGTAACATCCTCATAATAGTTTTCAAGTTGATCATCGAGCAACCAAATATTATGTTAAGGAAAATCAGTAGGATAAAACTTTGCAAATTCAAGTAATCTATCTTTGTTAAATGCAACAAAAGAGTTACTTGAATGAAGAGATGTCATACATTAAAGCAACCTCATATTTACTTCATCAAAATGATTATTGAGTTCTTCTTGAATGTTATCCAAAACTGTATACATCAATTCCACCTTAAAATGACGTTTATTCGTACTTGGCGCAATCCCCTATTTTGTCCTCCCAAAGTTATCTTCCATATTCTCCAAGATTGGTATGTCAGTATCTTTGCACATATCAGGAGCTTCTTTTAACAATATGTCGAAGCAAGTGTCTTCATTTCTCATTTTATGCAATCGACGCTTCGAAACTTGTACAAATTGTATGGCATTAAGAAGATCATGATCTTTTCTTTGTAATGCTTGTGACAGTTCATTTGTGATTCCTAATACTCTTTTCATTAAGAATAACAAAAAGACGAATTCAAAATTCTCCATGATTCGTAATAAACTCCTTGCTTGACTTTTGTTTTGCGAATCGTATCCTTCAATCTTAATCACCCTAAGCACATCAACAACAGAAGAAAATAAATTTATGACACTATGAATTGTCCCTATGTGTGAACCCCAACGTGTATCTTCTGGTTGTTTAATAGTGCATTCTTGATTCAAACCTTGTCCCATATGAAGATCACCATTAGAAATCAAAGATATCACGTTTTCATATTGTTTATCACGTAGAAGATCTCTGCGCTTACAAGATGCCACTATAGTGTTTGATAACATAAAAAGAGATTGAAAAAATTCACCCAATGCCGAATGGTTACTTATAACTTTGACTAGCGCCAGTTGGAGTTGATGAGAGAAACAATGAATGTAGAAAGCTAATTTATTTTCTCTCAATATCAAAGTCTTCAAACCATTGAACTCATCTCTCATATTGCTTGCTCCATCGTAACCTTGCCCCCGTAAACTTGTCAAACTCAATCCATGCTTTACAAAAAAGGTATCTATTACAATTTTCAAAGACTTTGCAGAAGTATTCTTAAGATGCACAACCCCGATAAAACGTTCAATAATACAACCTATTTTGTCCACATAGCGAAAAACAATAGCCATTTGTTCTTTCACTGCCACATCACGAGATTTATCAACTAGTAAAGAGAACGGTTGTTTATCTCTCACAATTTCTGAAACAATTTTTTTGGTTGTCAAATGAGTACAAACACTAGTTAATTCCCTTTGGATGTTGGGGGTCGTCATTTGATGGTTTTTTGGAGCATTTTCTAGCACAACTTTTTTTATGTTGTCATTATGATTGGATAGAAACTTCAATAGTTCCATAAAGTTACCTTGATTTTCAGATTCAACAGACTCGTCATGACCATGAAATGCCAATCCTTGATGTAAAAGAAATCTAATGCAATAGTCCAATTTGACCTTTTTCGACATGCAAGCAAGATCTACATCGATGTGTTGCCTTTGGTTTATTAAATCAACACACTTGGCATGACATTGGTTATGAGTACTAGAATGATCTCCAACATGTTTTTTCACTTTTGCTTTATCTTTCCAATTATTAAATCCCTTACTCACAAAAACTTCACCACCTGCTTGGTCACCATAATCAGTTTTAAAAAGATAACAATTTAAACAAAAGATGTAATCTTTTGCCACACTATATTCCATCCAACTTGGTCCTTCTTTGTACCACTCTGGTGTAAACCTATGCTTTTATCTCCGAAAAGAGTGAAAGGAAAGTTACGATCTTTAGGTTGGCAAGGACCTTTCAACAAGTATACTCTTCGAATTTCCTCATTTTGTTTGTCAGTACAACAAATCTCATTAATTGGTATCCTCAATCCTGGATCAGTTTATAGCTCATCTAAATTGAACATCCCGACCGAAGGTTGAGCTTCTTTTACTTAGTGTTGTTGTTGCTGATGTGGGACTTCTTCTTCTAATGGGATTTGATTAACCTCAATATCAGTAAAGTCTCCATCAACAATTTCTACTAGAATTTTCTTTAATCTCTTGAAATAATTGAATATCATAGCTATCAAATAATAAAAAAAAAGATAATATGATATATGTAAAGAAAGACCGATGAAACTTTAACTAATAAAATTACAAGGACTGACTTATTACGTTTTTAGATGTAACAATTAGATCTAATTAAAATATTATTTTAGCAATTAATTAATCATTTTATTGTGTTAATTTTCTTATATTTAAAATCATTTTAGTGAAATTTAAAAACTTATATAATTTGCTAATCAATTTTTTGACTTATTTAAATTAATGGCATAGATAAGCTAGATTTAATTTAATTACTATTAGAGCATACTTTGTCAGCTAATCACATCATAAAATAATAAAAATATCATTATCAATATATTAATGATTGGTGCAAAGCAAGCTGTCCTCTAATTATATAAAAAATTAATTTTATAAATGTATTTGTGATATCTAAAGTCACAAATTAATAATAATGTTTTCAACCAATTACAAAATCAAACAAACACAAAACAAACTCACAAGATTCATACTTTTTTTCATCAGAATAAAAAACCTCCATAAAAACAAATATGATTTAACCCTAAAATAAACTAAACTAAAATAAGTAATATAAATACCTAAAACTGATAAAATAGAAAATAGTCTTCAAAAGTTGTAACTTCAACCGAGCCAGTAAGACAAAGAGAAAGAGAGGCACACTCACTAAATTAAATTAGGGATACAAAAGTTGTGGTCCTATGGAGATTGGCCGGCATATATATATTATATTTATAATAATGAAACTAGTGGGCCAGCATAGCCGCAATATTTATGATGGGTGAGCCTGACATTGCTGCATTAACATATTATAGCAATTACTTTGATTGTGGGCCATATATATTTGTACCTTTTTGATATAAAAACAATTAATTATAAATATTTGCAATTTTTTTTTCAAAATCCAGGCCTACCCTCAAGGATGCTGGATCCGCCCCTGGGACCAGCAAACTATTGCTTTCTTCGGAGTTTTTTGTTTTTGCTTCTAAGGAATAACCTCATTTTCAAAAGTAATTTCCTTCGTAGAAGTAACTTTCAAGCGTTGAAATTTTGGGTTTCTTCTTTCCAAAGTATCAGAGTCATAATCTCAACTCTTTCCTTCTTTAACCTGCTTTGCTGCAGTAACCTACTTAGGAGTAGAGATCACCTGCTTATTTACAATTTTTTTCCTTTTTAGCAGTAACCCTTGGAGCCAAAATTACCTTCAAGGGACAATTTCTTCTCAAGTGTCCTCATTGTTTACACTTGGAACATGAGAAGTGATTACCAGTTTCCTTCTTATTCGCCATTATCTTGTAATTCTTCAGAGAAATGTCTAGACAAAAAGTCAGCAATCAAGTTAGATTTACCAGAAATATATTCAAATTTGATTCTATAATTCGCAAACCAAATTTGCCATCTGATTAGTCTAGCTTTGTCATCCTTTAAAGACAGTTTCATAAAAGTTTTTAAATATTTAGAGTCTGTCCTTAAAGTAAATTTTTGACTGATTATAAACAATCAAAATCGATCAATACATTCTTTCGCTGCTAAAACTTCCTTTTCATGAATATGATAGTTTATCTTAGTAGGAGAGAATTTTCCTGATGCATATCGAACAATCCGTTCAATATTATCAGTACCCTTAGCCTTAAGCACACCTCTCTAGTATAAGTGAGACGCATCATTCTCTATAATAAGCACATCCTCATCTTCCGAGAGTTTTAAAGGTTTTAATTGCTTTGTCAAGGCTTTGGTCCGCTTAACACAGTTAGTATCTTCAAGTGTCCAAACCCAGGGCACTTTATTACTAACCTTAAGCGTCAAGCCATTGATTACATTAGCGAGATTAGGAACATACTCGCGCATATAATTGGCTAATCCAAGAAATTGTTATAAAATGTGCTTGTCTTCCAGCACATCTGGGAATTCTAGCAACTTCTTCGAGATATGTTCTTGGAGTTGAATACCTCCTTCCCCAATCTCAACGCCTAAGAACTTCACCTTGTTCTTAAACTATTCTACCTTTCTTTCAGATATAATCATTCCATTATCAAGGAACATTTTGATCACCAGTTTAAGATGATTTACATGCTCTTCTTTGGTCTTACTAAAAACAAAAACATCATCAATATAGACTACATAAAAGTTAGATAAGTCTCCAAAGACTTTATCCATTTTTCTCAGGAATATTGATGGTGTCTACTTAAGCCCAAAAGGCAGAACCATCCATTCAAACAATCATTTTGGACAAGTGAAAGTCATCAAAGGAATGCTTGACTCCTCTATTCTGATCTGCCAGAAACCTGACTTTAAATTGAATTTTAAGAAGATTTTTCCAAATCTAGCTTTATTCAAACAAGCTGATTTGTTTGGTATCTTATAGGCATCATAAATAGTTTTATCATTTAATTGCCTATAATCGATAACCATTCGCGCTTTGCCTTTTTCTTGCTCAGCTCTATTCATGACCATGAATGTCGGCGAAGAGTGTGGGCTTTCACTAGCGCGTATTAACTGCTTTTTCAATAATTCAGGTATTTACTTGCTAAATTCTTCCTCTGCATCAGGAGTATAAGGATAGGATTTGGTAGTTATCGTATCATCATCCTTTTTTAATTTAAGCGGAAGCATATATACTGTTCATTTCCCATAGCTTTAGTGCTTGATCATCAAAGCATGGAGAAAATTCCTCTTTAAAGGATTGTACAAGTTCCTCTATCCTTAAAGAGTTTTTTTGGCTCTTGTTTTTAACCTTCAAGATTATCTCCTTATCTGTTGATTTATCTGTGCTCTCAGGGCATGCACCAGAGGGACTAACCTCCTGCGATATACCCTGTGCGATCCGGTTTATATGATGACTAGGATACAATCTTTGAAAGAAAACATTACAAGCCTCATCTATTCCTTCTGTTTCAGAGGCTTTCAACCACCATTTTTCTTTTTCCAAAATTTGGAAAACAATGTGATTTACTTCTTGCCTTAGTTTCACTGGTCTAAAACCATTTCTATCTTTCGAAACTTTAGGCTTAGCAAGAATAGAGATTTTTATGACCTCCAAGGATAATGTGGTCGTTATCCTGAGTAAATGGTCTAACTTCTGCTTGCCCTCGCAAAAAGCTTTTTCCAAGAATGAAATCTACTTCTAAGTAATCCACTATTAGGACTTCCCTTAGAATAATTTTTTTCTCGTTTAATAGTACAACCACGTTTTCAACCACATTCGTGATCATACTTTAACCTCTATCTGCAACCATATTTAGGATTGGTCTTTCCAATGATTTCCAAAGCTCCTCTAGAAAACATTGTTTTCTTGCAATACATTTGGTTGCTTTGAATAGAACTACGTTAGGCTAGTGTCAAACTACACCAATTGGTGCACAAGGTGGTTTGGTGATCTCAAGTCCAAGGATCACATACACCACCATCCGTTAGAGGATTTATTCCATAGACACTGGGGTTACCATCCATATGGAATCCTCTGGTAGGTCTGTCCAGTGAACTTACCTCTAGCAAGCACCCATGCGTTGCACCAGGTTATCGACAAACAACCTTGACAAATGAGATCAATCACTACCTTTCGACATGGTCATTCAACACTATGATAGCCTTATCGTATTATTTGTGTCCTTGGTCAGAATAATACTAGGGCTACGGACGTTTTTAGAATGACCACTATATGTGATCATAGGGTTCTCACTATCAAGATTGAAAATACTTGATACCCTCATCACGGTTCTACCATCCTAAGGACATATATCATATAACTATGATTTACACGATATAAAATAATATGCTTTTTATTAATAAATAAACATTTATTACATAGTCAATTTTTACAATAATAGATTGGCTCTAGGGCACCTGCTCCAATAATCTCCCACTTGCACTATAGCCAATCATTCATGTATTTAACATTGAATGACCCAAGTGCTCATCATGCTTCTACTCCAATAGAAACTTAAATAATGGGTTAGTAGGTATTCTGCACATTCTCTTTCTGATTGACTTCTCAGATCAGATTGAATCAACTAAGTAAGTGTTTGGATTACTGGTGACACTGTGATTCCTCAGCCACAACAATGGCTCCATTGTTATCGCAGTAGAACTTTACTGGATCAACAATGCTTGGAACCACATCAAGTTTAGTAATAAACTTCTTGATCCAAACAGCCAATACGACTACATTAAACAATGCGTTATACTTAGCATCAATCATAGAATCCGCTACAGTACTTAACTTCGAGCTCTTATAGCTCATTGCAGCTCTATTGAGACAAAATATAAACCCGGATTGTAAGTAAAAATCATCTTTATCTGTTTGGAGGTTAGCATCACTTTATCTTTTTACAGTAAGCTCATCTTCCCCCTCCATAATCCAAGATCATATCCTTAGCCCTTTTTTGGGTATTTAAGAAACTTATCTAGTGTTACTCACTTAGATCTGATTGATATCTTCTACAAGTGTTGAATGCACACAAGACATCAATTTGAGTATTGCTCACTAAGATCCTATTGATATCTTCTGCAAGTGCTTAATGCACGTAAGATATCCGTGCAAGCATGCAATCACAACATCGCTCTCTTGGATCCGATTGATATCCCCTACAAGTGCTTGATGCACATGAGATATCAATCTAGCATACAAGATGGATCCACTTGCTGAAGCATGTGGGATCCTCTTCATTATATCTCTCTTAATGTGTGGTTTAGGACACATATCCTTAGAGAGATAAACACTATGTGCCACTAGAAAAGGTTCTTTCTTTGATTCTTCCACACTGAATCCCTTTAATACCTTGTCTTTATACTCTGACTTGGGCTAAGCAAACTTCTTAATCTATTGCTATAGATCTTCATTCCGAGAATGTAAGTTGTTTCTCTTAAGTCTTTTATGGAGAATCACTTGGATAACCAAGTGTTTACTGACTGCAAGTTTGATATATCATTCCCAATCAGAAGTATGTCATTGACATACAATACTAGGAATGTCACTGTGCTCCCACTCACCCTTTTGTAAACACAGGTCTCATCTTCATTCTTGATGAAACCAAAGTATTTTATGACTTCATCGAAACGAATGTTCCAGCTCCTTGAAGCTTGCCTGAGTCCATAAATGGACCTCTGCAACTTGCATATCCTTTTAGCTTGTCCATCAAGAACGAAACCACCGGGATGTGCCATATACACATCTTCTTCAAGGTTTCCATTTAGGAAAGAATCATTTACATCCAGTTGCCAAATCTTATAATCATGATATGCAACAATCGCAAACATAATCTGGATGGATTTAATCATGGCAACTGGTAAAAGGTTTTTTCATTATCAATACCGTGAATTTATTTGAAACCTTTGGCAACCAGTCGTGCCTTATAAGTATGCACCTTGCCATCCATGTCAGTCTTCATCTTGAAGACTCATTTACACCCTATGAGTTTTACCCCTTCAGGTGAATTCACCAGAAACTATGACTGGTTACGGTACATGGAGTCCATCTCAGATTTTATGGCTTTAAGCCACTTAACAGAATCTGGATCCAATACAGATTCATCGTAGGTTCTGGGTTCATTATCTTGGTAGACCAGTACGTCATCATGTTGAGTCACGAGAAAACCATGTTTCTCGTACTCACGACGTCCTCTCCCAGATTTGCGTAGCTCCTGTGCTACCTGAGGTGGTTCACTTTGATCCATAAGTTGTAGAGTAACCTCCTCCTAATTTTAACCACTTCCTGTGGCATATCTAGAACTTCATCAAGTTCTACATTTCTCCTACTAGTACTTCTTAGAAAAAATTACTTTTTTAAGAAGACACCAGTATGAGCAACAAAAGGTTTTATACTCTTCTGAACGGTAGAAATAGTATCTTTCGGTCTCCTCAGGATACCCCACAAATACAGTTTCGCAGGATTTCGAGCCCAACTTGTTCGAAGTCAATTTCTTGACACAAGCTTCGCAACCCGAAATCCTTAGATAAGACAAGTTGGGCTTTCACCTACTCTATTATTCATACGGAGTCTTATCTATAAACTTTGGCGGTAAACGGTCTAGTGCGTCAGTCGTAGTCTCTAGGGCATAACCCCAGAATTATGTGGGTAGATCACAAAAACCTCATCATGGACCTAACTCTCACATTCCTTCAGGTATGTTTAACTCAACTTGCCACATTTGGCGTAGATGTGACTTTGAGAATATTCTTATTGTCCATTTTTTAAAACATATTATTATGAAACAGTTCCATAGAATATTATTTATACT